TTTCGAGAAACCGTAGATCTTGTAATTACCGTTCAGATTCCCATCGTTCTGTGCTGTTGAAACGTTTAACCTAGTAAGTTGCGTATTAGTGAACTCTTCTAGGCTCTGAAGAAGGCGATTCTGCCGAAACGTCAGCTATGGTTGTGTATGAAAGTAAAGCTATGCTTGTGATGTATTTCGTCCATTTGCTAGATGTAATTCATACGCATAATAACTGTTTCAGCCGTATTCAAGTCGTTATGATGGACCGGTGGAATACCGCCAAACGATGGGCATGTGTTAATTTTGGTTTTCGGAAATGCGCAGACCTTCATACTGGTTCATCCAATGCGCGAATCGTCGCCGATTGCCGTAAAGGATCTAATTTTCGTTGAATGCTATTATACGGTCGTGAAATGCATTGCCCAGGAACAGCACCGACGATGCTTCACAACGGCGACTTTCTTCATTTTCATCCAATTCATACTCCACACATTTACCGAACTTCTTGTGGACTTTCCAATTTTCTTCAAATGCTCCGAACAAGTTGAGATGCTTACACCGAGCTTTTCCGCAAGTCCTTCAACAGTTGTTCGTGGAGTGGAACCGCCAACACATGTTTTTGCTTCCACAAAACTCTTCAATTCATCGCCGAAAATAGCAGGACGTGCATGACTTCCTCGTTTTCAAGGTCCAATTTTCCACGACGAAATTTTTCAAGCGAACGTTACATTATGCTCCTAATGAGCAAACACGGTGAGCAACATCAAGAGCATAAAGGATAAAGCTTTAGGCGTTGATCAATCCCTAGGGGGTGCGCCATGCATGTAACTTCGTTAAGTATCGTTTGTAGGGGACTGGTTGCATATCTGGCTTCTACAATGACTCGAGGTGGCCTACCGTTATATCGAGCCAGTGCTACTATCCTCTGAGCCAAATCTGGCACCAATTTGCCAACCCCGGAGGGATGGAAGGTTTGGTGAGCCTGGAGAGCGGGGATCGATCCATATGTAATTCGACTTCATTAAGCATCGTGTGGAGGTGATTCAATGCATATCTGGCCTTTATAATGAATTACGGTGGCCTGCCGATGTATCGAACTAGTGCTGCTATCCTCCCAGACAAGTCTGGTATTCATTTGCCGAACCCGGAGGGAAAAGTTTGGTGAGCCATGGGCGCGGAGATCGATTTCACGTGTGTGTCGCAGTGGCGACTCCAACCACCACACGCTCCTCATACAACAAGACAGCAGTGAAACATTCGACCGATGCCGAGGCTAATACAAAATCAGTCGTGGAATATACAGTGTGTGCTCCCTAACACTTTCTTGGGTCCATATTACGTTATTGTAGCGAGCAATTTGCTCAACATATCACTAAGTTCAAATTCGTAAAAGTTGATTTATCGAGATTGCTGTTTTCAAATATGAAATTTGGAAAACATCGAAAATACGGTTTGTACAGTAGTTGAATTATACGGAGTGAATATGCGTAAAATGTGCCTTAAAATAATATATAGATAGTACAGTATTCAAAAAATTGCTATATCTTATAAAGAAAATAGAAGTGGAAATCCGCCAACAAAAAAAGATCATGTATTTCCAACCAATCCATGAGACAGATTTCTTTCCCTTTATTCCACATTGAGTTAGTTCTCTTAAACACATAGCCATATCAGAACAAAAGGCGCATATACCACGATAACAAGAGGTGTCCCACAATACGCACATGATCGTTGGTTCGATACCGCGCTACGGCTCACCAAGCCTTCCCTTCCTCAAGGTCGGCAAACTGTTACGAGAGTTGTCCGAGCTTTTAGTCGTTTCTAACGATGCTATTGATCAACGTCGGCAGCTTTACCCTTTGGCCTAAGGAAAACAATACATGTGTTTATATGCGCTTGCTTGTATATAAATTATGAAAATTCGACATGACTACGAACTAATGTGCCCCGCGTTTACTCACAGCCTTGAGAGCTATTTCTTAATATATCTGACACAACACGAACGCAAGTAAGCTCTCACGACCACAATTGGATGCTGATTGTGGGAAACGTGAGACCAAATGCCTGCCAGCCTGCCAGCCTTGACAGTTCTCATATTCTGTACATCAGTAGCGCGATATGACGAAGGGGAAATCTGTATACTTTACACGGAAACAGAAGTTCCAGCCCTTTCTCGTTAAATCTTCTTTAGATGCACTGAAACAGTTGAGATGTTTACAATAAGTTCTGCAATTACTCGAACAACTGTGCATTTATTGGCTTTCATCAGCCTTCAATTAATCGTCGTCACTAGCAAAGGCACATCCGTGACCTATCTCATCTCCAAGGTGAAATTTACCACTAGAAAACTTTTCAAGGCTTCATTACACTGCGAATTCGTTAAAGCCTATTAGCTCCACAACGCATTAAGTTTGAGAGCCGATTTCGCTGTATTCGACTTTGCATGAATTCGTGAAAGTTAATTTATCGAGTTTGATGTTTCGAAACCTAAAATTCTAACCTGTAAAGTTTGTCAAAAAAAAAACTTTTATTGTAATTCAACAATACAGAGGGAAAATGCACAAAATAAGCCTTAAAATAACACATAACAGGGCAATCTTCGAGCAAAACCATTGATAAAACACATACAGGGAAAATTGAATCACAAATTCGAGATTAACTTTCAAACCTAATACTGTGCGCGACCCAGATGACATCTTACCTTTAGTGTGAAAAACGCCTATCAGTGGAGCACGTCGCGCATGGTCATCATAACCAAGAAAGGAGACCGAAGGCTTCCATAACGATTGCCCGATAAGCTTATTAAGTGAATTCTAAAACCTGCTCACAAAAATTATCCTGAAGCGGATACTAAGGACTCTGGATGAGGGACAAATACTTGACCAAGGAGGATTCCAAAAGGGATATTACTGCACATACAACATCCAGAGCGTGTCCCGCGTCATAGAAGCCAGTAGAAGTACCATTTGCCCCTCATCCTAACCTCTATTGACTATGAAAATCATTTGATAGTCTCGAAACGAACGCGATCCTATCAGCACTCGTCGACTGCTATCGGAACTGCTTCGCGAAGATACGTGTTCTTCATCGACTCCTTACGATAGAAACAGAGAAAAATAAAATTGCACTATGGAAAAATTGGAAGATGATCCATCTCACAAAGTGTGGAGAATGGTGTGATGGTGAACAAATCAAAATGGATGGTTCACTGATTAAAGACACACCTCGTACGGGTATCTCGGCATCCAGTGAACATGGACAACAACAACATGAAAAAGGAATCAGAATGGAGTAGGCCAGCAGATTCCGCATTCGGGCCACCGTCCAACTACTGGAGACCCAAAACGCCACACTCACTTTTTCGAGACAGCAGTCCTCTCACCGCTCTGTTATTCAGCACAGACGTGTGCTGAAACTCCAACCACGTATAAAATTTTGCACACCAGTCACATAGCACTTGAACGACGCAATCCGAAACATAATCAGCACAGAAAACATTTTGCCGGAGTGTGCGGCTTAGGTCTTTGAAACCCATTCCGCTTTCGATATTCAGGAGAATGGTATCGATACGGAAACAAAGATAGGCCAGCCATGTACTCAGAACATTGACGTTGATGAATACAGATAAAAGATGGATGAAAAGGACAGTAGAAAGGATTTTAAGAAAATGAAACCGTCTTTTCGGAGGAACACCAACTCGGTGTTCGTTGATTACGTTGATTACTTTAACTAATTGCATCCGTAATTCCCATGACGGACTCCCTATTAACCTCGGCATTGATCAAATAGTTCTCGATATTCTTGCTGATCAAACACGAGGCGTTACCTTATTTTCTATTCCGTTAAATCTGGCGTTTCAGCATTATCGCCCTCTTCAGAGCCGTTTATTACGTGCCTTTCACTGAGGAAGATTCATCGACCATATACGACTCTGATCAGCTGTTCAGTGAAATACCTGATGAGTGAGGTGCGTATTGATTTTACAATGTTTAACTTTTTATTTACTGCCTATTATTTTTTCATGCCAAGGTATTTTTTGAAAAACGGCTACCATGATGCTGGGATATTTGCAAAACCCAAACCTCAGTTCAGATTCGAACTCGTGATTACGCTTTCCGAGGTCTCATGTGTTAACCACTGCACCAGTGAGGCACTCCCGTTGGTTCTACCTCAGTCAGTTTTTTACCTTAATGGCACCATCAGTAATCACCTATCAACGGGAATAACTTGGGGAGTACAAATCGGCAGTGAACCCAGTTAATTGCCAAAAATTGCAGCACGAATACCGAATAACACGTGGGGTAACAATTTTAAACAATACAAGAGTTATTATTTATAAAATATTGGGTTTTTCTTAAATTAATGTCAGATTTGGAACTTCATCTTTCTTGTATATGTTTTAGCTCTTTGTTCCAATGCCGTACTACTACATATCATTGTAAAGCTCATTTTATACGTATTCGCTTCGTATAGTCGAATTATAATGGGAACTATTTTGTTGAGAAATTTTAGTGGATAGAAGTCCGGAAGTCAAGAAGGAAATTTCAATAAATCTTTTTGAAATGCTTCAGCAACTAAGCCGAGGCCAAAACCGCCTTCAATGATTTCATTGCCTTCAAAAGACCAGGATTTTTAGCAGTCGGTATAACTAAACTTGTTCTTTGCTGAAAAAATGCGTAAATTTCAAAGGTTTTTACTTCTATTAATAACCTTCATTCTAAAATGAGATATGTCACCTTAAAAATGCGGGTTTCGAGCTAGTATTAATTTCCGAAAAACGCATATTCTTCCGTATCATGACGGTCAAGACATCAGCATAACTGAAGCTACAGGAATATGAGATATTTATGGGTAATAAACTTCTGAATACGCTAAATAATAGCTCAAAAATCCCATCGGTAATTTTTTGCTTCATAAATAATACGCATATGCTCCAAGAATTCCCTGCGTATTTGTAAGCTTTCTCTCTCTGAGTCTACATTTAGAACAGTATTTCAGATTCGCTCCATTTCTGAAATTCAAAACACCATTTCCATACCTGGCTCAAGTTCTTCTTCGGAAAGCGCGGCGCGATTGAATGGATTCGTTTGACTGCTTAGTAGATGGCGCATAATGTGCTTTCGATCCATGATATGTCCAGATGGCAGTTTCACCGGATCCTCCATAAGTGTGTCCATAACAGGGTCTAAAAAAAAGGTGCCTTTCCAACAATAACCTATTCCATTAAAAAAGATTAACGTTTCTAGCACCCAACAAATTTCTTCGCTTATTGTTCTAATTTGCATTGAGTATAATTCGTGTCATATTTTAAAAAATCAAACGCATATAATAATCCCCTAACCCTCTGAAAGGTTTACCGTTTTATCCTGATTGAGAGATATTCCTCAGTGCCGGAATGCTATCCAGCAAGGACTCCATAGTTGAGAAGAAGTCCGATATTTCCATCTGGAAGCCCACCTATAAACTAATACCAGGAATCACTGTCGTCCTGGTATAAAACTTATCGAAAGGTTGTAGATCTCCCTTCAATACACAATGGCCGGCGCATGCGAACTGAGCGAAGCTCCGGATAGGCAGACCTCGGGACTGTAGGAAACCAACAATCGTTCAACCACCAATAAACCAGCCTCAGAGCACTGCAGACTGAAAGCTTCAGTCTAGGAACTCGGCAGTAAGGCAACAAGGCAACCGGTGAGAGTGATCACATCTTGCTTGCACACGACACCACTAGAAACGAACAAAAAGAGCACGTCCACGACACGGCAAGGAGGATGTTCTTGCTCTGAACCTACAATACCGGAATAGCTTCCTTAAATGCTGATCCTTACGCTCTTCTAGAGGCAACTGGTTGCCAGGATCGACTTTCTATTAACCTCGGCATTGGAATACGAATGCCTCGTTTTCTCGTTCAAGAATCGCGAGGTTGTTAAACAGCATACATTTACTTCCATAGAAAAACAATACAATACAACAGTAGCTTACGTTTCCGCAGTGTTGCCTTCATCAGAGCCGCTTTTTACGTGACTTCCAATGAGAAATGCAACTAGTTTCATTAAATTCCATGCTACAGAGAACTCTCTATCTGATTGGAGAATTCTCTATCTACATAACTAATACAGTCAGGGGATCGATGGAGACCGTGTGGCTGCAACGCCGCGCGCGTCCTCTGCGTCCATATCCCGTTCTGGCCATAGGGCACACTGCTCGCTTGGATGTAGCCGCTCCTAATAGCACCGTCATTTGGTCCGACCCGGCGACGCCGTGGAGATCGCCGACGCCAGCTTCATCATTAATTTCCTCCCATCTGATCCTATCTTGCGGATTTATTTGCTTAGGTCACAATGATAGTAATCCTTAGCCCTTGCATCGCTGACACATTAAAATTATCAACCGTCGTCAACCACATGCGACTATAATCAGCTGTTCTAAACTTCCTCATTGGAAGTCACGAAAAAGCGGCTCTGAAGAAGGCGATACTGCCGAAACGTCAGCTAGCGTTGTATTGTATTGTGTTTTTATGGAAGTAAATGTATGCTATTTAAAAACCTTGCGATTGCTGAACAAGAAAACGACACATTCATATTCCAATGCCGAGGTTAAGAGAAAGTCGATCCTGGGAACTATTAAAATTATCGTTGGTTCTTGTGTAATTACGTTGTGTGTGTTAACATAAGTTAAATACTTTCATTGCTCACAGGTACCTCACAAACGGTTCATCGCTCTTGCGCACTTTCGCGAACGCTTTTTACATCGTTGCGTTGTGAGCCGTTACATTGGTGTGTTGACCAACTCGACTCGAACCCAAAGAAACAGGCACCAATCTATTCAAACCCAAGAAGCAAGAAACGCTCATCGAAACGAACCAAACCTCAACGCGGGAACCTACCTACAAGTGCGTTACATTAATTCTCAAAAGGAAAGAAAATGGCAACGATTCTGTCCGCTAGTCAAGGACAATTAACAAAGGCGATCAGTCGCCTCGTATCCACCTTAAATAGCTATCAGAATGAAATAGACACGCCATTAAACTTTCCGTCCGAGCAAACAAGTAGAAGCGAGTACATTATTGGACGGCGAAAGGAAATAGAACAAGCAAAATCGGCCATTGAACATGAGCGAACGAGCGTCCAGACCGCGTTGGACACTTATGCCATAATGGCAGACCAACTCCAGCAAAACCCCAATAAGAACGTAGAAAAAACAGTTGAGCACCTCGACGAGGCGGCACGCTGCCTCTCTAAGCTCATCGACTTAGGAAAAACCTTGGAATGCACCGAGACTTACCCACTAAGGGACTCAAACGTCTATCCACCTCTGACGAATCTACCACCCATCCCTATTCCGAAATTCAACGGATTGCAGGCGACAATAATGAATCTAAAGCACGATCCAATTATGTTCGAAAATCATCATAAAAGGATCAAGAACAACTGGACCAAAACATCACTGAAGAAGTTGACGAAAACATACCAACGCCTGTACAATTTGGATACATAGCCACTGATCAAAACGCTGCTGATTGCGCTACAAGAGGACTAAACAAAATCGAATTAAAAGACCGCATATGGTGGAAAGGACCGGCATTCATCAGGGAACTACACTCACAAAATGATCAACTCCTTTTCACCTTAGAGCAAGAAATCATACAAAGGGCACAGATAGCCACAACTACAGCAATAGCCACCACACCCGTCGAAGAATTACTCGACTGGAAGTGATTCAATAGACTTCGAAGAGCAAAAAAAAGGGCGATCACATATGTTCTCAGATTCATCAGCAAAGTCAGCTCTAAACTGCGGAAGGAACTGCGCGACCGGATATGCGAGAATATCCCGGAGCTCCACGCAATGTCAACAGAAACATATGTCACGGCCATAGAGCAAGAAGCAGCTTTACGAGTTTTGATACAAAATCACCAAACAGTTCATTTTTCTTCACGATCTATGAAAGATTGCAAACATTTAAAGTTATATCACGATGAATGGGGAATCATTCGATGCAAAGGCAGATTAAACAAAGCAGACCTGCCACGGTAAGCTCAGCAACCAATTCTAATCAGCTCTAAAATGGCACTAGCAGAATTAATAGTTGTCGAGGCACATCTCCCATTCCATAATGCAACAAGCCAAATCACAGCCAAAGCACGTGAAAGATTCTGGATGACAAGCATAAGGCAAATTGCTAAGAAAGTTATAAGACGATACCTACCCTGTCAAAAGATGAACAGTCTCCCTTACAATTATCCGCCGATGGACGACCTTCCGGAAAGAAGAGTGAGAAGATCGCGACCGTTCGAGCATGTAGGTGTAGACTATTTCTGACCACTAACAACGAAAAGTAGTGAAGGAATGACAAAGGTCTACGGCATCATCATAACGTGTGCGACAACCAGACTAGTTTATTTAGAACTCGTACAGAACGTGATGACGAATGATTTCCTGCTAGCTTTAAGACGATTTTTTGCTAGCCGAGGAATGCCCAAAACTATCACCTTTGATAATGCATCCAATTTCCTACTGAGCGAACAAGTTCCACAAGACAATTCTTCCCGTTATTAACGAAACGTCATTAGCAAGTATAATGGCAACGAGAGGAGTAACATGGAGGACAATTACGCCGTATGCTCCGTGGCAGGGAGCATTTTACGAGCGCCTTATAAAGTCGGTCAAGCACTCTCTATACAAAATATTGCAAAAGACGATCCCAACAACTGAACAATTGGAAACCCTGTTGATAGAAATAGAGGGAAATCTCAACAGTCCACCTCTCACATACCAAGAAGAAGACGCCGACAACTTTGTTACCATGCGACCAATAGACTTTATCCAGCGCGACATGATAATAACATATCTGTTTGAATCTAGCAAGGAAGAAGAGGACGATAAAACGTATCTACCACCCCAAAAAGTAGCATTACTACGCACGCGAAAGGAAGTGCAGGATGCCCTTACATCAAGTCACAAACTGACAGAACACTACTGGAACATTTGGAGCCAGGAATACTTGAAAAGTATCCGAGAAACTAACAAACTCAATATGAACAACAAACGAGGCACTCGAATAAACCCAACCGTAGGGACGGTGGTACTAATTCATGATCCGGCTTTGCCACGAAACGCGTAGAAAATGGCGCGCATCATTGGCTTAAAGCAGACAGAAACTGGTGCAATCTGAGAAGCACAACTCAGTTACCAAGCGGCCGTATCATAAGGAGACCAATTAATTTACTAATTTCACTTGTGCTGGAGGACAGCCCGGCACAGAAACGGTTACACACATGGAGAAACGGAGCCGCCAACTAAAGATCCGCAAAGTGCAGTTGAAATTCTAAGTCTACGTTATAATCTCCGACAGCGATCACGTGACAACAACGTGCCTATGATCTCTCAAAGAAATCGTTCCCCACAAGTCGAGGAGGAACAGGAACCGAAAAATCATCCTGAAGAAAACGGTCAATAAGGAAGCGAATCGTTGTGTGCCACCACTATAACTTTCCACCACGAAACCCCACTCAACCTACAACATCAGTCACCGTCTAGCCCACTCCTATAGAGGTGGGGAACTATAGAGAATTCCCCAATCAGATAGAAAATTCTCTATCTACATAACTAGTACAGTCAGGAGATCGATGTAGACCGCGTGGCTGCAACGCCGTGCGCTTCCTCTGCGTCCGTATCCCGCTCTAGCCATAGGGCACACTACTCGCTTGGAGGTAGCCGCTCCTAATAGCACCGTTATTTGGCCAGACGACGCCGTGGAGATCGCCGGCACCAGCTTCATCATTAACTTCCTCCCGCTTGGTCCTACCTTGCGAATTTATTTGCTTAGGTCACAATGATAGTAATCCTTAGCCCTTGCATCGCTGACACATTAGGGTTATCGTTGGTTTTTGTGTAATTACGCTGTGTGTGTTAACATAAGTTAAATACTTTCATTGCTCACAGGTACCTCACAAACGGTTTATCGCTCTTGCGCACTCTCGCGAACGCTTTTTACATCCTTGCGTTGTGAGCCGTTACATTGGTGTGTGTACTATTGTATTGCATTTTATTAGGTAACAAACCCACTAAACCACCTCATTCGCAGTTTATTGAACAGACATTGTGGATCGCATTGTGTTGTCGCGTAGGTAGCATGCGTATACTAGTAAAGGTTTAATTACCCAATTTTGGTGTACCTCACAAACGGTTCATCGCTCTTGCGCACTCCCGCGAACGCTCTTTACATCCTTGCGTTGCGAGCCGTTACACATGTGACCGCTCTACATTAAATGAAAAGCAGGAGGACCGACATACACAAACTAGACCACGTGGAGGAAGCTTCCGTTAACTTTGTCATACACTCATCTATTACCCATCTAGTCACTTCACACGAAATCCTACCACCGTTCTTAGCCATTTTCGTTCCAAACTTTGCCGTTAAAAGTAAGTCAGTATCACCAACTGCTACTCACCGGCACAGAATCTTCATAACTGCTGCTCGATATGCTTGAGGGGACAAATTGCTCACAACGATTACCCATATGCGCATATAAAAGACCGTCGATAAGGCACGACAAGTTGACCCAGCAGCATTCGAACAGAGATTCTGCTGCATGGATCATGTACAAACGGTCTTACAAGTCAAAGACTTGTGTTGGGTGTCCAACCTATCTCTTGTCCTAACCTTTACCAAGAAAGAAAAAGCATTGGCATTTAACATTGGAAAAGCAAAAGTATTGTGGATCGGAGAGAACTTTCACGTCTGGTACCAACTTGTAGATCCTGAAGATATGGGAAGCCCGGTGGCGTGACAAGTTGTCAAAGGAAACAAATCGAATGCAAAAAATGCTGGGTTCCGCACCGTGTGATACCAGTGACATTGGGTCATGTAATAATAATCGTAAAAATTACATAACATTTCGCACGTACTAAAAACAATTTCATTTTTCGGATTTTCCAAAACAGATTACCAATAATTACAACCTTGCATAAGACTGAATGTTTCGACTACTCCAGATCTCTTTTTATGTCGAAAACTAAATTGTTCTGCAGATAAAAAAAAAGAAAAAGCAAGTGATAATAAGAGGATCTCATCCACGACTGCACATTTCTAACCGCGTATATTCTGCAATCGTATTCAACTTTCATTACCTACTTTGTTAAAAAGTTGATTTCGGGCATGAAAGCCTTAACTAATAACTTAGATAATCGTACCTTTAAACTCCTCTGGCGCATCCTCAAGCTCCATTTCCTGGGCGGCTTTGTTGTTGTAAAGTGTTTCGACCTTTTCAGCAAGTGCACGGAATCTGTATCAATAGGTTTTACAAACAGTGAAGAAAGCGGGACTCCATTGCTTTAAAACTCCAAATAACTCCTGCTTCGAATGGGTACTTCCTACGATTCCTACGATCACTTTATCTCGACGAGCACAGCGCACGGGATCTACTACAACTACGGCAAATGTGAGTCAAGGAACTAAAAACCCCTTATATGTGGGAACGATGAATTTAGTTTTCATTTTTGCAGAGATTTCCTTAGGATTCAATAAAGATGAAAGCTGCTGCTGGTTAGCTGCATTGCTTAGTGCCTCCTTTGCACTCATAGCGTTTAAATATTTCTCCACCAAGTGTCGCTTGCTCTTCGTTATCGAATTCAGTGCTTCCTTATTTTGTTTTTTGTCTCTCTGCTTTGCTAGTTGCACCATTTTCCATCAATAAGAGAAACAAAGGACGTTCAGTAGCATACCAGAATACGGATGATGAGCAGTTCGAAATAGTAAATGATGTTCCAGAGGGGTTTCATTAACTCTACACTTATTAAGTATCCAAATTCGGAAAAAAAACCGATACCTTTCAATCTGACTAACGGGTACGATGTTATTACTAACGAGGCGGCGAATGACATCATTCATCATCTCTGGTCTATACGACCTCTAAAATTACAAAGAACATAGTTTACCAGGCAAGTAAACCTTATTGGAACAAAGAATTAAATAAACGTTTTTACGACGTGACCATGAAAAACTGTCTGCAATATAAATGGATTAGCAATCACTAACCTCGTCATGTGCAATGAACTCTGCGAATGAATCCGAGAACGCCGCTAGATTCAAGTAAACATCGACCACCTGCCCTACAAGTTTACGGGGTTCCCACTGGAATCTTTCAGCAGCATCACGCACCTATACATTTAACAATTTAGACTGCAACTCTAGTAAATCATATAGCAACATAATAGAAACTGAGAACGGATTTATCTGCTCCAAATAGGCAAAATTTAATTCAAAATTAAAATATGAGGAGACCGTTAAACAGCTTTTACCTTCAATTCCATGCATTTTCTACCACATAACTGAGCTATGTTGTGATTGAGCATAGATGCCAATCGATCACCCAACACATCTTGGGCAAATGGCTGCGGTGCATCTCTTGTCAGATATCCGAGTAGTTCTAGCGTATCTTTCGCGTAGACCAACCAAGAGCGAACCTTAACCAGTAAACAGAATTGGGCTTCATAGAAGAAAAAAATATGATTTCCCACCGAAATTTTTTTTCCAACCTGTCTTTTCGCATCCTCTAAAATACTTTCCTTTTGTTGCTGTTCTTCTCGTCCAAGTGCTGCCCACTCTTCTCTATTTGACATAAGCAATTCCACATCATGAATTTTTTTCAATGCCGCCAAACTTTCATCCAATAAGAACGTTGCATCGTTAATGACCATATTTATGAAGCGGATAAACTCTGGGCCACATGCTCTATAAATTGTGTAGACAATATTGGCAGAAAACAGTAACAGAATAGATTAAGAAAGCGCTAGAAGTATGTACTTGGCAAGTTGGATCATAATGGACCGATAGTATGTTTCATTCCAAAGACACTGGAAGATCACTTGAATGTTACGTCGAATGCTGAACTTTTCATAAAAATCCGTACCAGCTTCAGCGTCGGAGTAGAACTGAAACATAAAGATAGCTATTTACACTTCAATAACCGCTCTTAATTTCTGAAGTGGATCTAGGGCTTTATTAACAACGGTATAATTGAGGGCCTCCCAGCCTTTTACCGCCTCATTGGGGCTAGGAGATGTTCCTGAGTGTCGGGCTGTGATGTACAGCAAGGGGATTCACGCCACAGAAGGGTGTACTAAGCTGTGAAGGAGTCCGGCGTTTCCATCAGGAAGTCAAGCTAAAAGTAAACTAATACCAGGATCCACCACCATCCTGGTATCAAAGTCGCATGGTGGTAAATATCCCTCTGATCCACAAGGGCTTCAACTGCCCGTGGTGGTGAACACTTGGGATAGATTTTGGCCAGGCTGACCTCAGGACTTTAGGGAACCACAGTGGCTAAACCAGTAAAACTCTGAAAAAATGGGAACTATGGTGAGGCCCGCCCAACCATTGACGACGGGTCATCCAAGAATTGAAGTATAAATGAGGTATACAGTGCGATTAATGCTGAGAAGAAAGTGCACAAGAAATAAGCCAACCTTTACTAAACTGGGAAAAAGCTTCTCCATAGCCATTGGACTATTAATTACTTGATACCAAAGATTTTGAGCAGCAGGAATTACTGCAGGCGTAATCATCATTACTACTTCCACTACCTGAAGATAAAAATCAAGACCAACAAGAACAAAAAATAGGGAGTTAATAACCAATCTAGAGCAAACGTCAATGCAGGTATATAGAAGTTCACGCATATAGAAAGTAAGGACTTACGGTTTACATTATGAGGAAGACCGAAGACAGAAAAATGAACAAGATTTACCTTGGCCGCCAAAAAAGGATTGTTAAAATAGTGCGTACAACATATGAAAACGAGCAGATGACTTGGCCAATCATTATTCCGACCAACAAGAAGAGCAGCAGTGTGCCTTAAAACAGATTGTACATATGTGCTACAGAGTTAGATTGGAGACTGATCTGAAGAGTTCAACTGAAAAAGGAACCAAAACAACAGCCATTAAAGATTCAAAGTAAACTAACAGTGGATTCATAGTTTCATTTTTTGGGTATTTTTTATAAATAATTCTACTTTTTTTTTGAATGCTCCCAAAGTCCTATTCGTTTCTTCGCATCTATTGTCCACGAAGGTCTCTGAACTTCTCACGAATAGGTTCAACTGCTGCTTAAGGATTGTTGCATTCCTTATGAATGCCGTTGAATACTGGTCGACTTGAGCTTCCCAATCGAACTCTAAGATAGCTAGGCCAGATCCTTCACGCTTGGATTTGATGGAACGACTTGCGCATAAATATGTCTGGTACCAATTTCTCAATCCTGGATGGATGAGAAGCTTGGTGAGCACGTGAGTCCAACTAGAACCGTGTTCATGATGAACAGTATCACTGCCACTGCAACATCCACCCCTCTAAATACTTGGATACTTGGGCGGTTCGTCTTCACCAGTTGTGCGGACCCCAGCACATATGCCACTCGTTCCCTTTTCTTGCAATCGTAGCCCATGATGGTGGTCTTGTTCGAGCATGGTAGCGCTTGCGAGTCTCATAGCGTGATCTGTAAAACAACTGCAGCTACGGGTAGAGCTGATTAACTTTGTTTACGAACACGTCCGCCCAATGTGTAGGTGGTCGTCCTAGGGAACGTTTGCATTCTCTTGGGGTCCACTCTATTGTTCTTTTCGTCCGTCGTCTGTTCGTCTCATTACGCGATTCGGCTTCTACATCGTCGTTGAGCTGTCGGTTACTTTTTCATTCTTATCTTCGTTTCTGATTTCGGTTTTAACATCTCTCCGAATCAACTAGTAGGAGGAACGAACGAAGGATTCATCGTCGAAAACACACCTCCCTCAGATCCACATCGTGGTGAAGATCTGGACACGCCCTTGTAAGGTTAAGTCAGGACCCTAGTGAGGACCAAGTTGCACGACCAGCAACAGGCCAGCCTCAGTACTTCCTCTAAATATAAATACCATAACAGCAGATTTGAAAAAAATTGCTTCTATGAAACCATATTCGAGAACAGGACAAACGGCTCGAAATATTATTGATATAAGACCAAACAAATGCCATCGAATTCGCTGTGCGAGTTGGTTTTAAAAATATCGTGGAGGAGAATTGCACCTTCACGATGGATGCCGTCAAAGTAACCCCGACGATGAATTGAAAGCTCCAGTGGGAGCAAATACAAGCATAACTGCTCTAGAACCTTCAAGAGCATCTAAAGAAGATTTGGATATCGAAAAAGATTTGGATATCGAAAAAGAAAAAGTAAACAGATACCATGTGAATGAGCAGTACGTCGCACTACAAATCGGATGTATATTCATCACGCTAGGGTAAAAAATTCTGCCCCATGCCTCATTCACCATACTAGTCCGACTTCCCACCTATCAACAACCACTTCTTCAAGCTGTAACTCGTCGATGTTATGAAGAACGGCATATTCCCAACAGCCGACTAACGATTTAAACAAACCCCAGTTTCTCGTTACTTTGGAATTTTGCTTCTTGAATTTTACGACTTTCTTTCTTTCCAAGCGAAATGGAGTCTCACGCAGAAAAGTCAAAGCCCCAATCTTTGGTAAAATTTTAGGAAAACAGCAACATGTTTTAGGAAAAACGTTCCATTTACTTATGATATGGTCTTTTTCATTATGGCGATCGCCATTAGAAGATCACCACATCCAGCACTGAGAGTGGGGTTTCTGCAGTTGTGAGTGCCCTCATGGTAAACCCAGACACCTGCTCACCTTGATCATTTCACTCTATTCTTTGGGTGCCGATGTGACCTTCTTCAAAAGTTTTTTTTCGGTCAAATCTTAGCGCTAAAATCTCCAATGACCTTAAAGAATGTTTGGTTTCCTTCGTAGAATTTCTCTACATGCACATAGCAAGCTTTTACTTCGTCTTCGTTATAGCATAATGTCGGTGCCTAGACGACGAAAATTATCGAAGGCAGTATTGAGCTACACCTCTTCAACTGTAAGCGATTGAATCAGGTTTCTAGTTAGCCCAAGGAATCGATGTTTATGGTCAAATTCATGCTGACGACGGTAACGGGGCGGAATCCTCCATCAACGCATGTTTCAACACAGAGGAACAGTTTTGCACTGGTACCATAGACGGCGCGCGTGGGGCCGCGGTTGGAGGCACCACGGCGACACACGTGGAATCGATCCCCGCGCCCATATCTCACCAAGCCTTCCATCCCACCGGGGTACCAGACTTGTCCGGGAGGATAGCAGCACTGGTTCGATACATCGGTAAGCCACCGCGAGTCATTGTAAAGACCAGATATGCATTCAATCACCTCCAACGATAGTAAATGAAGTCGAATGCTTGGCGCATCCCTCAGGAATTGATCAACGCTAAGAGCTTTATCCTTCTAGCAAAACGCGTTAAATGGACTGCGTTCATTGGAAAGCACCTTCTCGACTCAGTCAGTCCAATTGTGTTGCACCTTGTCCAGGTATCTTAAACCACCAGATTGTCTACAGAGGACTCAGATGAAAGTGAAGTTGTATTATGGATAAAAATCGCCACCTTTCCAGACTTAGACAGCTTAGCATGGACCTGCGAATTTAGCAACCTCTCCGTACTCGTCCTACCCAACACTTCTGTATCGGGAATTCATTTGGTGTCAGATGAATAACGCTCACTTTCTTTACCGTTTAGCGCTTGATGCCCACGTATGGATTGCTGAGATCTGAATGTAGAGGCGAGTATACTCATGGATAGCTTGCTCACCTCTCCCAGAGTAGAACTTATTAGTTGGATGTGGCTCCTGAGAACCTCCAGTACATACCCAATTCACTTGATTGCAGGCTCTTGGCCGAATTAACTCCTACAGTACAAAAAGCATAAGCGGGAATGCACCCAAGCACGTATGCATGAACATTTCTTCGTAAACACAGACGACATGTGTCGAATTGGCGCAGCAGAAACAGGGAATCGACCCCATGGACCCACATGCACCTAACAGAGGCACAACGTCGCTTCTGGTCCGCACTTAACATATTTACACATGACTTTGCGACTAAACGGCTAGGAATCCCCTACTGAAGATTTGCCTTCAAGGTACAAGCCATCGTAATCTAGCAACACTGAACCCTGATTTTCTGGAACCAACGAAACTTTTCTTCCACCAATTTCTAATTTTTGTGCCAACTTCCGTATTTCGAACATGGAAGTAATTGAACAAATGAGATCTCGTTCAGCAAAACACGATACAATTCTCCACTGCATCGATACTGGTAACAACTGCGTTGGAAATTTTAAAAAGCTACATTTGTTTCATTTTTTGCGAACTTCAACTCTCTGCTTCATATTTCCATTAGATGTAGTAGACGACTATCTCAGATTGGTCCACAACGGAGTAATTTCAATCAGAAAATTAAAATCGCCGACTGTTAAGACTTCGTTTCACATCCAAACCAAACAACTCACTTCAGTGCAAAAGTGACGAGGTCTAGCACATCATCCAAATAGAACTCAGGATATGCAGCGAAAAGCTGAGGTGCAACAGGCGGTAGTTCGTTGTCGTAGCGACTGAAAATGTCGAAACTTTGAAAACAGCGACGTGCACGCAAGAACAACGTAGATCATATCCTTACAAGTTTGGCGTAATAGCGTTCAGAAGAAGTAGCAGTTGCTTACTGGAGAAGTCAAGCGCTAGACTTATAAATGAACCATCGGAGAGCATACACTCATAACACATTGCAGTATGTGTAAATGACTGAAAAGGAGAAAATACACCAAACTGTATAGCATTTTAGGTCCAACTTTCAAATGGTATTGCAACAGATTGGTTGATATCGAACAAATACTCGTAGCAGAGCACAATATAAGCAGCAAAGGTAGTGCATACAAGATGCCTTGAAAATGTTAGGAAATTGATGCTAAGGGATCTTCAAGGAATTTTAATACCACCTTTTAGCTAGAAAAAAGCGACTAACAAATCTAGAGTTGTGCAAACATGACATATGGAAAAGCACAAAGGAAAAGCTTCGTTCACTTGTTGCAATTTTTGAACTGCCAAGAATTTGTTCCTGAGAACTACTTCATAAGTTAGTGAACCAAGTGTTAAGCGACCAGGAAAGTTCAGCTTTTAAGTCCACGATCTACAACAGCATTCAAAGGACTACGGAAGAATTATCAAATTTTGGGATGATTTGTACTCTAAACATATTTCGAGATCTGTTTATAACTGAAGTCCTCCTTTCATCGTCCACTATACCTCCATGACTTGCACTTCTTTAATAAGGTAACAACCCTACAGGTTTTCGAGTAACTGTTAACAATTTCTAAGGACACTTGAACATGAGGCGTATTATGGGACTACGCTCTATTACGTAAGGGTACGTATTCCTTAGCTGCTATCTATACTCCAAAAGTCAAGATTTAATTAGCTACTAGTAGAGGAAACATTTAAAAATTTAGTCCAATAGCAACGGTCTCCGCCAACACCAACAAAATGGTCCGGTACAACGAAAACCGCCTTTTCTAATCGCATCGCTACTATAGATAGGACCATTTTTAGGAAAATAATGACGTTGTGACAAGACTGGACATAATTTATGGATTTGTAAACGATTGGTCACTATGTGATGTGAAAATTTGCTTAATAATTAAAACATTTGCTACGTCTAGGAAAAATATACTGTCGAGAACTATGATAATCGTGTAGTTATTTAACGATTACAAGTTAATCTATAGGCAGCTTAAACCCTTCTGCGACGAAACTGGATTTTCGACAACTATGAATAATTTCTCGACCACTAGATTCCAGGAATATAGAACTAACGGATTTATGGAACAGATTTCGCTCCACCACATTAATAGCAAGGACAACATTTATGCGGGTCCTTTCGAATTTAAACATGTTTGAAATGAAATTATGAAAGAAATGATGACGAAACTTAGGGTCTCAAAAATTGTGAGGGCACATCAGCAGCTACAAACATAAAGGATACACTGGGAAACACCACCAATCACCAGTGATAAAACTCATTAAGGTTGAGATATGTCAATTTATAGCTAATAGCGGATATTAATTATTAATTACGCATACGGCTACCGAGAAAGTCAAGTAATCTCGTAACTGCTAACCTATCACCTAATAGTTGTCACTATTTTGACCAAGGTATAATAGGAAAACTCTATCGCAAATTTGAGATAATACGAGTAATATATAGTTTTACTGATACGCATTCAAATATTCTTACATATATATATATATATATATATATATATATATATATATATAGCTCTCTACTAATTCAAATAACCACTAATACAATCTATAGAAGTTTCCTGATAATAAACAAGCTTTCTTACTCTACCGTTATACCGTTTTTTGATTTCCATTTTTTGCTTTACCCTGTCTGTGTTAAAATTTTAACACTTGCGATGACGCCTAATTTGCACCCTTCACGGACATGTTGCCTCTTTTTTTCTGCTGAAAATAAACAACAATGCAACCACAAAGATGCTTAGATATCTGCAAAACTCCGGACAATATATCTGCGGTAGGGAATGAACACGCCTTTACCCTTTCCAGGTGCTAACGCGTTCACTACCACACCATGAGGGTCCTTCGTTTCGCCTTTCCTTCAGGTAGTTTTCGATCTAACAGTGCCATTAGGAATCACCCATTTACAGGATTGATCTGGAGAGCACAAATCAGTATTGAATCCAGTGAAGTTGAGGTTGTCGTCGAAATCACAATGTTAACTTTTAACACCATAGTGGTTGAATTTCACATGATATCCTGTCGTGAGAAATTGTAATAGGTAGTAAATAAAAACTTAACATTGTGACGAACAATAGCTTTCCGATAAATAGAGGATTTTTTGGGTGGTGAGAGCGAATCAATCCTTTTTCGAATTGAAGAAAAGATTTCGCTCTATCGTTTTAAAGGTGTGGCCATCATACAAGCACATTATTGTTAGTATTTGGAAGTGTTTTACAAGTTATGGGTCTCCATTTCAATACTTTTATACCAGCACACTCTATACGACAACTATAGCTCACTACAGCAACTGGAATTGAAACGGTAACCGATTAAGACCCAAATTTTTGGTTAACGAACGCGATCGGAAAACGGTTTTTGTATATTTCTAACTGCAGAATATGCTTTTGCCTATCACCGAACAACACGTCATCTGTGTTCTACAAGTTATCGATTGATAACAAAAAGGCTAGGAATATAGTTCTATGCATCACTCAAATAAACCACCGGAAAGAAAACTAGACCTATAGGTATATTACCGGCCACTCCTGCAAAATCATTATGACACCTATAGGTGACATTCATCACGACATAAAAAATTCGCTTCCATTTTTTCGAAGGTAAAATTTTATGCAACCCTATGACTAAGACAGTGATAAAAAAGTTCTTTTCTACAAGTATATAAAGTTCTAGGCTTATGAAATAACTCAGTCACCGAAATCTACGCGGAAGGTGAAGAAAGTTTTGCACTCTTCGCGCGGAAATCAACAGAAATTAGGTGCCGTGTTAAAAATTGACAGGAAGCTGAAAATGCCAGTCGAGGTTCCAACTAAGCTATTCCGATGTGTTAAAGAATGTTTCGAACTACGAAACTCTAGGTTGAAAGAATCCTTCCTCGGGAGAGTCAACTCACCCTAGAAATTCGGCATATTCACGCGAAAGATGCGGTAGAATACGGCTTATGTAGCGAATTATTGTTGTCGTAGAAAATATTTTACCGTCAGACGGTAATACACGTCTAATTTTGAAAATCCGGTGAAATATTTAGAAACGCCCTCGCGTTGGTTTTTCGCATGTATAGAGAGAAACGTCCCAAATAATTAACCGTTGTCTATTCATATGTACTCAAGCGTTATTCCTAATGAACGAGCCTACCATCTAAGTCTGTTTTGCAATGAAAGCACTGCTTTCTGGCTGAGTGATGCACAGAAATGTGTTACGTAGCATTCTATATTTTGTACATTCTCAGTAAAGAAAAAGTTACAAGCACACAGCTCTTTCAACCATTGTCGTTTACTCTTAAGATATTTGCATGGCCCGTCTTCACTCACTGGTTGTGCGGGCTCCAGCATAATTTCCATTGTTTCAGAGTTTTCCTGGTCTAGCCACTAGAGCCCCAAGGCCAGTCTAGCCAAAGTCTGTCTCAGTTTGTCACCACCATAAGCACTGCAGTCGCCACCTTTGTAGATCACAGGAAAATTCGCCACCATGTGACTAGTCCGATACCAGAACGACAGTGTATCCTGGTTTTGCTTTACTCTTACCTGGAGTTCTTTATGGAAACGCCAAGATCTCAAGATAATAGTCAAACATTTATAAATGAACAATGAATGCTGGGACGAATAGAATCGCTATAAAAGTACCGTTTTCTGCTCGGTTCGCGCCTTGATTTTGTGGTTAATTCTACTTCTTTCATGTTCGGCGAACATGCCTTCAGGTATACGGGCAAGCTGCTCTTGAAGTTCCTATAAAAACTGAATTCGACTACTTCGGCTAAAAGTGTTTCTTATAGAGCCAAAGTTTACGTCCCAAACAATTAATAAAATCATAAAGTAGATAAGAAAAAGAAGAAAGTATCTTGCCTTAAACTTCCGAAAGGTTTTTTGGAAAAAAAAAGCCCTGGAGATACTGAAAACGAACTAAAAAACGATATCGGTAACTAAAATCCGACACTTACGCGAATTTGTTCGCGAACATCTGCAATATGTCTACGCAAACTACGCAGACGATTCACTGCTGGCTGTAGGCAAATGTTTTCGCACTGCATGGTAAGGAAAAAGCATTCAGTAGTGAATTTCTCATCAACCGATGTAGCTGAAAGGAACAGAATGAGGGCAGAACACTTGAGTAGCAGTCGCGTAATTCAAGCCAGTAGTTCCTCAATGAATGACTAGTTCTAGTACTTTCATCGACGCTAACTATAAGTTCAGCCTAGGTTTTGAAGCAAATCACACCAGGACTTATATCAGATTAAGTTTTAGAAACGACCACATAAACAAATGCTTAAGTCTCACTTTACTTCATCAATTTCCTAAGACCATCCAAATTGTAATAGACAAATCAACAAAAAGGCGAATTTGACATGGTTAACACACTAGCAACGACGTCTAATTTCTCTTCGCATGTTCTGAACGGTAAAATCAACCTATACCTTCCACTCCCCCCACCTCTACAAAACCTATCCACCACTTTTGTTGCATTGTTGCAACTAATCGATTCATGCCGACTCAAGAAGCTATGATGGATCGAACCAGCTGCACAGAATCAAACTGTCAGCATGGCCCTCTCTTGGTGGAGTTCCGGTTTTTCGGAAATGCTACACCGCTTCCAACGACTGAGCCAATCGTCACCGATTGTCGATGATGATCCAGTTCTCGTCGCACATTACAATACGGTCGAGAAGCGCGTCGTTTTCATTGAGTAAAAAAAGTGTCGACGATATCTCATAACGGCGAACTCATTGATTTTCATTCCACTGGTTCAGAATCCATTTATCGACCTTCTAATATTTTTTAGATGATACGAAACAACTAGCGAGTCCTGCAAGTTCTCGAACAGTTGTACGTGTATGTATTTGCCTGCAGAGAAACTTTCACTTCATCGTCGTTAATAGTAGAGAAAAACGCCCGCAACCTCGTTCACCTTGGAGGTCGAATTCGCCATGACGAAATTTTCCAACGTTGCACTAACATTCTATAATATTCGTTAGCCTATGCCCCATTCGTCTTCCGAGCCGTTTGGCTGCATCATGTCTGACCTTCAATTCGTAGAAGTGGATTTGTCGAAATTTCTTTTCTGACATTTGATATCCTAACCTTTAAAATTTCTCAAAAACACAATCACACTGTAATTCAATTATATGGAACGAAAGTCCATAAAATGAATTTCACAATGACATATAATGGTTTAGGACCGCGACGTAAAATTATTGCTAAAGCACACAAAATAAGATGAAACCACAAATCGGACAATAATTTCGGCAAGACCTAGTACTTTCAGATCATATGTTAGGTATACTCCAACACTTTTTACATCTTTTGTATCCATCTGTACTTCAGTACGACGGAGTCCAACTTTTATGAAGCCAACGATGCACTCCGTAAAAGCACACTGATAAGCTCACATTCCGTGACGGAAAATTATACTACATTTCTGACCAGTAGCATTTTCGCTCTGCTATCGTATGAAAGCGTTTTTTGCAAATTACAAAGTATAGAGAACAGCTCTGGACCCGCACAACCAGTGAGGATTGGCCTTTAAAGTATCCAAGCAACTAAGAAAATAGTTCTTATCCGACTACAAGTGGTGTAATATCTGTGGTGAATAAGCTATCAACTGAATACGGAAGGGATACAGAACTCTGTGTAGGAAAGTAAACCGTTGAAATCGAAATGAACCTAAATTAACTTATACAGCTCAATCTGCTTTCTCACCTATGCAATGGAACAAACTCACGTAGTTGACGGTGTGTCAAAAAAGTAATGGGAACAAACAGTCAAAACTGATTCAGTTTCTCACAGAGCACAGCAAAAAATAGTGACCCACGACACAACTTGGTAAAATCTTTCCCGCTTTGAAGATCCATCTTAAGTCGCGTTTTCTCAACAATGTCCACACGACTATTCGATTGAAAAGGGTACATTTGATTAACCTGAATAGGAAAACAATGATGCTCGGGTGCTTCCTGAATCATTTGGAAGGGTTTTAGAAACTGATTCATACATCTATACCTTTCTCACTTTTTCAAAATATGAGCTACCTTGAGAGCTATGTCTGAAGGCTCGATATTCAAAGAATATACAAAAGAGCTAACCTTACACAAATCAATTTTCGATGACAACTCGAATAGTACACACATGAGATTTACAATGAACGTATGTGACGCAAGCGTAGAGAAATCAGCCTGAGTATGCACTACTTTATAAAATGTCCACAAACCCAGAAGGAATCCCTATTCTCACCCTCATTTGTGATCGTCTTTCATTGTACTTAATAACTGCAGCAATGTAGTCAAGACAACGGCCACGTGATGAAGAGTTAGCCAGTAGATGATGTACAATTTGGTGCATCAAAGACTGGAATTTAGCCAGATAGAACGGTGTATTCACTGTAATCATCCGCTTAGAAACCCTTCACCAACTCTAGTTGTCTCAAATCTTCGCCGATAGCTCTCATACATCATGCTTACGCCATCTTTAGGTGATTCTGTGACAGCAAAGAACTTGCTCGCCATTGGACTCTGAATGATCGCTCCATCTTTAACCTATCATCATATAAATGTGTGTTAAAGTACAAGAAAAAAACGTACAACAAACTCATCACAGGGTATTCCGTAAGCAATAAACGGCCCCAGGTAAGACAAATGTGCGATTTCTCGACCTGTTATACTTGTGATAAGCTCTGGTAAAAAATCAGAGCGACTGACCATCTAAAAATGTTCCTTTAGGCATTTATTTAAATACTTCTAGTCTCAAGCGACATTTAGAAATAATACATGTTTTATCTAGATCTACGATTTTTACGACACTTCTCGACTATCAATGGTATGTCGGCGCTTCTCGAAGAAGGAAAACAAGATGCTCAGGAAATGAAAACTCGAAAAATGTAGCCCTCAATACAACTCTGTGGAAAAAATAAACTTTTCACAAAACTAGTACGATAAGCTCACTAAATCAGCTATAGGCCGCATATTTCCATCAATCCGAATAGAAAGCAGTTGCATAATTGCACGAAAGAGTAAGTGCACACAATCATCGCGGTTCATCATCATGTGCTGATAAATCATGGAATCTCTTTGCTGTGTAAGAATTGGATTGAAAATCTGAATAGTACGACTTTTATTATAGACGAGTTGAGCTTCCCTAGCTTTTCTAACTAGCACAGCGACCCTACACAAAACAAAATCCATCAATAATGACGAAAACGTCACCTCCGAAAGGGCATTTTCATCACTCCTCTTACGATCCGTGCAGAACGCAACGATGTCACTGAGAAAACGGTCTGACACTAAGTTTGAATATAGCAGACGAACAAGCGATGAACGCACTAGTTTACCGGACATGCTAAAATATTATTTTGCTGGTAGAACTGCCAAAGACAAAAACATCAAGCTGTTTCTTACAAAGGTTCGTAGTATCCGCGAAGTAGGATAACAACGTTGGACAGAACTAATTCGCGAAGATCCAGGCACATATGCTTTTCGAAATCTTGAAAAAACTGAAAAATTATGCATTATTAAAAATGATAAGCGGTGGTGTGACGTTCTCAACAAGAGTAAGAAATGATAATAAAGGATAACGCCGTCGGCGTTGATCAATCCTTGACGGATGCGCCATGCATTCGATTTCTTTAAGCAACGTTAGAGGTGACTGAATGCATTTCTGACCTTTTACAATGACTCACAGTGGCCTAATGATGTACCGAAGCAGTGCTGCTATCCTCTGAAACAAGACTTGTAACAATTTGCCGACCGATCCCATGCGTATAACAGGGCGCCTCTGACTACTGCGCTATACGAGCGATAAGAGTAATAAAACTCTAAATATGCGGAAACAAGCAAAGTAGAAATTATAAGACTCAGTTAAAGTGGTGAGTACAAATAGCCGCACAATGCGCAAGTAATGCAAGAGTATACTTTAGAAGCAACTTTTCTTCAAATTCCGCATGATTAACCAACTTAAGAGTGTATGGAAAACTGTGATTTTCCTCGTTCAACGTCTACCACAACGCAACAACAGTGTTTTTCATTAATATTTTCCTCACTGATTTTGAATTCTCACCGTTAGTCGACTCATTAATTCTTGGACGGATTGTTAAAATGCTGATGGACACAAGTTGAAGAAAAGGCGTTGTTTAACAGGAACTCACGCTCCAAAGGTTTCCAATCATCCGCACAACGGAGTGTTTAAATTTCCTACATAACTTCTTGCACTACAGCTCGCGGCGAGTGTAGCACAATGGTCGGAGACACCCTGCAATACACTCGGGACCGATCTCGGCGCCCCAGGCCCACCAAGCACTCCATTCCTCCGGTGTCGGCAAATTGGTACCAGACGAGTCTGGGAGGCCTCGATGCATCGGTAAGTCACCGCGAGTCACTGTATGGCTCAGATATGCATTCAACCACCTCTAGCGATACTTAATGAACTGAAATTCATGACGCATCACTCAGGCATTGATCAACGCCGAGAGCTTTATCCTTTATACTACAGCTTAGATTGGTGAAGGGACATGAAATACCCAACACAAAAAAGAATGCCTATCATAACAAGCGTTGTGTACAACATATATAGCGAAATGTAACCGCTCTGAACAAAAAAACCTCATTACGGCTCTCAGTATTCAGACGACTATACGTAGACATTAGGTAGTTCAAAGCCATTGACTCTTTAGTAGTTCCAATTCTATCCAACTCCGGAATAAAAAGAATCGATCCAAGAGAGTCTTCTGAAAGCAGTCTGTATAATTGGCAATCTCAACAGCAAGGGATACCCACTTCACTACCTAGAACCTTTAATCACGGCTCTTCATAGAAAAACGACTGAGAAAGAGTATGACTGGTACCTGCGTCCACCTCCATGGCAATATCAGAAGTTGATGCAATGGACGACACGAGGGTGAAAATCACATCATGGATAGGACTTTTATATGCATCTAAAACTGATACGTATGAAAGACGAGTTCGACAATCTTACGAAACTCGGAGGAAAAGAAGTACTAGATAAGAAGCTACTAAGACTTACCAGATTTCAATAAGCTGATTTCAGATATTCTTAGGCTGCACTCATTCACCAAAGCATCCTGAAATGCAAATTCTGGAGCTAACGTATCGCCTACGCCGAGTACACGTAGCACAAGGTTCCGCACGCGATCCGACTTGAACTGTTCGGCTTCCTTAAATGAGCATTATGATAGTTGTAGTCATCTAAAAACCTTGCTAAAAATTAGACTAGTTCTCCATGAAGCCATAAGATTCTCTAATTACCCGAGTTTTCAGAATCCTAATAAGTACAAATAAAATAACTTCAAATTCTTTACTTTACAAAAAGGATAAATGGTAAAGATCTCGGCGTTGATCAATCCCTGAGGGATGCGCCACGCATTCGACTTCACTAACCATCGCTGGAGGTGACTGAATCCATATCTGCCCTTTACAGTGACTCGTGGTGGTCAACCGATGTATCGAGCCAGTTCTGCCATTCTTCCAAAGCCTGGTACCAATTTGCCGACCCCGGAGGGATGAAGGGCTTGGTGGGCCCGGGGCGCTGATCGATCCCATGTGTACTGCAGCGCGCCTCTGAGCGCTACATGCGCTTTTACTTTATAGTATAGAAAATACAATCAATGTTGCTGGACAAGTCACAAACCACGTAGGCAAAAGAAATTTCCAGGCGGTGAGATAAACCGAGAACCAACCTCATCACGTGTTTGCATCAAACCGATACTAGCGTTCTTTAAACCGATTTCATTGATATCCATTCTACCCGCATTCTCGTTATCGGACATCTACTGCCTCTACGTTGGAACTCTTAATTTTAAAGTGATTACCCTTAACGTCCTACGATCTTAAAGGCTCCTAACTGACTCTAGCATATTAAAGTACAACACTATACTGATAAAATCAATACTACTTAATCACATTACTTAAAAAAAGGGAAACGGAACACACGACGCTTATCGCACGATAGGTAGTAGCACTTTAAAGTTACACTCGCGTGGAACAATTGCACGTATTTTTGCGGACTTGCTTCGCTAAGGGGAGTTAAGAAAAACTGTATAACTTCGCAAGTGATGAAGTAACTACGTTCTTCTTACTTCTGTAAGTTTCATTTCCTGTTAACGTTGTTCAAAAAGACGTATAATGACATATTTTTCGAAACAAATTCACAAAATTAGTCTATTAAAAATTGCAACTGCTTCCTGGTATACTGTGGTGAGGGATTAGTGTATCGAGCCGTTCAGCTTGCAGAGTTTGTAGACACGGGCTTCGCTTAGTTATGGATTATTGATGCTTCGACTAGCTTTAGGTCTAGTGTTTGTATATTTTTAGTATGGAATTATGTAGAGATATGCACTTATAACGGCCGCATGTAGCGCAGTGGTCAGAGGCGCCCTGCAATCGACATTGGGTCGATCTCTTCACCCCAATCTCACTAAGCCTTCCATCCCTCCGAGATCGACACATTGGTACCAGGCTTGCCTGGGAGGATAGCAGCACTTGCTCGATACATCACTGTCACCGCTAGTCATTGTAAAGGCTAGATATGCATTCACTCAACTGCAACGATGCTTAATGAAGTTAAGTGGATTGTGCATCCCTTAGGACTAACCAACGCCGAAAGGTTTATCCGTTATCCTTTTTTTCTATTTAACGGAAAAACATAGTTTTCGTAGTCGGAATTCTTTAAAGCCCTCCAGAACGTTACGTTTGGGTTCGCTAAGGAAACTTATAATGTGAACATCTAATCTTATTAGTGTTTCATGTGACAGTTAAGTCCCAGCTTTCAAGCTTTGTGTGGTATCCCGATAGTTCCGTTGGTTTCTGTACGTATCGATCGTTTTTTGTCAACCAATATAACTATGAAAATAAACAGGTGAAGCTATGGGTCACGATGTAGATGCGCCTCTTCTTCCTACTTATAAAACACAACGACCACCATGGATTGGACTGTGGAGTAGCCGTGAATAGTAAGTAGTGTTTCAGCTATTACTGGTATCGGTTTAGACACGGCTGAGAGGAAGGCGAAACGAATGACCCGCATGCTATGGTAGTGACCACGTTAGCTACCGGAAAGGATAGTACCGGGCTCGATCCCCACTGCTCAGACGCCTGCGGTCGGCAGTTTTACAAATATCTCGGCATCATTATGGTTATATTGTTGATATTGTTATGTTGGAACTTATGTGGTCATATGTGAATCCTTTAGTTGCGATTGATTAGATCATTAGCATAAATTAGACTCATTTTGTTTGATATTGCTCGTTTTTTGCTTCATCCATCGATTCCTAATGACGGCCTTACAGAAAGATACCTAGTAAAACCTATTTACTAGGATACTTGGATGGCTCGTCTTCACTGGTTGTGCAGGCCACAGCATAATTTCCATCATTTCGAAGTTTTGCTGGCTTAGTCATTGCTGTTTCCTGGAGTCCCGAGGTCGGCCTAGCCAATGTCTGCTTCTGTTCGTCACCATCTTAAACATTCCAATCGCCGCCCTTGTGAATCAGAGGGAGATTTGCCACCATGCGGCTGCATTGACACGGGATGGTGGTGAATTCTGGTATTGGTTTACTCTTAGCTGGGCTTCCTGGTGGAAACGCCGGTCCTCAACTCGCTAAGCCCTGCGGCTCGTGGTAATGACGGAAATCCCTTCCAGAAGTGGCTATTTAAGAATCCTTCTTTCTTCAGCAAAGGTCGTCCTGATTGGTGGAAAGAGCTGGGCGTTCGTGATGAGGTAGTTCGTAGCGGAAAATGGCGAGTGGTACGCCATCGTTACAAAGAGGAGGATCCCGAGTATTTTGATCCGAAGGTAATCTATGTCATCTTTATTATTTATTATTTTATATACGACTTTTTTTTACTTTTGTTTTCTCACTACCTTTTTCTGCCTAAATAATGCGCAAAATTGAGTGTGGCTATTACTAGGCCTGATTTTTTCATCTTTATCTTTCTCAGTGCAACGTTGTTCTTCTTAACTCAGGTTGCCGACGGCACTTCTATTTCTGGTCCATTCGGTCTTGATTCGAGGTATCACCGTAACTTAACTATTAAGACCGACCAGCCTATGAAGTTGGACGACTTCCAGACAAAGGTTACCTTGATACTCTTATTTGTTACAGAACACGTTTTTTTATATGTTTTTAACAGGTATGGAAGGGATCACATCAATATAAGAATATCGCGGAAAAGTACAATTTGAGTGAAGAACATCCAGGATTTGACGTCAGTCCAACTCTCAACGACCTCGTAGCCAGTGAGTCATACAACAGATTGTTTTATTTTACCAAGATTTATGGAACTGGCTGTTAACTAGAATTTGTTTATAGTACCAAAGACGCAGCTTGGGCGTCTCACTTTGACTGAAAGATGGTATCATTTGGGACCACGATTCTTCGACAGACCATTGAATGAAGCTTCACATGAGAAAGGACTAGCGTGTGCTAAATACGCTGCTCTGCTGAGTACGATTTTTCGCTCAAATAAATCTGAGCATACATATAGATATATGCATATACACTGCTTTGGATACTTGGGGCCGTCCTCACTGGTTATGCGAGCCGTAGCGTAATTCCCATTTTTTCGGAGTTTTGCTGGTTTAGCTATTGTGGTTCCCTGGAGTCCCAAAGTAAACCAAGCCAAAGACTGCCCCAGGTCGTCATCGCCACAGATAGTCTCATGCTTTGTAGATTGGAGGGAGATTTTCTATCATGCGACTAGTTTGATACCAAGACGGTGGTGCATCCTGGTATTGGTTTACTTTTAGATGGGCTTCCTGATAAAAACGCCGGACTCCTTCTGAGCTTGGGAGACCCCTGCTAGGGGCTAGGAGATGAGTCCCCCCGCTGCACATCGCAGCCCGACACCTAGGATTACCTCTGGGCCACGACGAGGCGGTAAACCGTTAGGCGCGCAGCGTGTGCATATAGAAACAATTTATACCTCCTGTCTGAAACGTCGTTACAACAGTGAGCGACGCAGTGTTATGAAATTATACAAGTGGTACTGCATAAAAGCATTTCACTTATTGCTTTGTTTTGATTATTCTTATGCAGTTTATAGTGCTACCTATCACCATGCTTGAAATCCGCGCCACCGGTTCCGTGCCTGCTAAGGAATTCTCGCCCCGAAAGTTCGCAAAGCGCTATTTCCAGTTGATGCCTAAACCAACAATAGCGGCGTTTTCTTGGGGATTCGCGCTCTCTTCTGCGGCAGTTATGCGCAACAAGGTGATTTTATTATTCTTATTTTCTTATAAGTTAACCTGTTTGCAACTTCGCCCAATTTTGTTGCTTGCGCTTGAAATTAGTCCCAGTTTTTCTCCAAGCCCGATGTTCACTGAACTTAACACACCTTCTGTTATGTCCGCAAAAAATACCACGTATGGTTTCGAGTTTTTAGCCGTGCAGTCTGGTCTTGCCATGTTTTCTTTTATTTTTTGTTATCATCGAACGGTCTCCTCCAACTCTCGTGGTAGAGCTTTAACCCGGCCATCTTCAATATTGCAAGGGGAATTGACTCGACTAACATTCAACGGCACACATAAAGGAAAATTCTTCAAGGAACAGCAGAAATACGCGAAATGTTCGAAGACCATTGTGAACGATGAATGCGAGGATAACGAAACAAATCCGAGAGGTACTGGAATTCACACAGTAGGCGTGATTACGGGTCATATAAGATAAATAAAAATAAAATCATCAGGCGAAACGAAGGACACGCATGGTGTGATGGTGAACGCGATAGCCCCCAGAAAAGGTAAGAGTGCGTCGTTCCACACCGCAGACGCCTGCGGTCCGGAGTTTTCCAAATATCTCAGCATCGTTGTGGTTGTATCACACATAGTACCTTGCCGTGAGCAATCGTAATAGGCAGTAAATAGAAAGTTAGTAATATCATATGTATTAAAAAGTACTTCGTATGTGTTATATATCTTTTTCTGTATAACTTTTTTGTTTAATGAGAAAAAAACTCGTCATCCGTCCAGACATCGTGCTGTGAGTCTTCGATAATGGATTTCGCAACACTTTTATTTTTTTAACATATGACATGTTTAACATAAAACTTTTTAACAACATATGTTCAGTATACGTTTTTTTCATTCATATCCACCCGTTCCAAGGTTGTAAACTTTCAGTGTTCGTAAAAATATATTATCTAAAAGAATACTTAGAGTTCTCTCGCCATCGGTTGTTCCTGTATTGCCCGTTAAACAATATGTGTAAGCTCACCTGCAAGTACTCTTTTGTAATTTACTGCGTGTAGAGAACAGCTTTTCATGGATCTCGCATGGGATATATTTGTTGGATAAGTGAGTACAGAAACTTGTGCAATTAAAAATCTATTCAGCAAAGTAAGAAATGGAAAAAACGTCTTATTTTATTTAGTGTTTTATACGACCCGCCTTTAACATCTACTATGTTGATCCCGTACTTCTCGCATTCGAATCATTTCCTGGTATACATCATGCACGAAGGTCTTCCAACTTCTACATGTCTACGGCTGCTGTTTGAAGATTTTCATTTCATCTTGAATGTTGTAGAATGCTGTTTTAGTCTATTCTCCTTGAAGTCCTCATATTGCTGGGGTGGAGAGTCCACATTTGGATCGCAGAGAGGTTTTTTTTCCTGGAAAAGTCCCTGTACCAATTTCCTGGCTACGTTGGGATGAGAGGCTTAGTGACCCCCGGAGCGGTACCGAACCACCACCGTTCTGGTGATGACCGGCATCACTACCATTGTGCTATCTGCCGTCTAATGGAAGAAACTGCCTTGAAATCGAGATTTAAATTTCAATCTGCTCAACCTGTCCATGTGCGCACTGAGATCAAATGAATACGGTCGCGAATAAACTAAAAGCTAACCTATCAAAATTCCTTGGTTCGTGCAAGCCATCGGACTGTGACAGTTGTTCATGTCGTACAAATATACGCGTTTTCCTTCGAAATCTTTAACATTGGGTTTTTAAAAAATCTTCTCCTCTGGAACGTAGTACGTTGTCAAAAGCGTCTATATCATTTTTGGGTGCAGATTTGCTCTATATTGTTCTCTAATTTCGTTACTCAGTGCGAATTATTAAAGGTGTTTACTTTATTGAGAACAATCCTCCATGTGTAGTGCTGGGAGCAATAGAAGACATTGAAAAAAATCGAGTCTCTCTAAATAGGTGCATGTTGCATGAACCGTCACCATGTATTTCTAGGACGATGTCAAGAACCACCTTTTCTCTAGTGCTGCAGTTGGAGCTGTTGTTGCATCAATGAGTAAGGAGTAATGTACTTTAAAACGGAATCTATCGTAACTGTTTTTAAAGCTGTCTTTACTTACTTATTATTGCTGTTTCCCTTCTTTATTGTTATCAGGCATCATTTGATCCTAATATTACGTGTTATTATTAGTTGAGTTGTAGTAATGTACATAACAATGTTGCTACTAGTTTTTAATATAAATTATAATTGCCTCTTTCAGAAGACAATATTCCCCTGGGACTCACTTTTGCTGGAGTTTCACTCATTCTTGGTACTGTCTGGCACTATTGTCGCATATCGGAGGAAGGCATACAGGGCAGAACGATGCATCCGACCAGTGCTGGAATGTGGGGTGGACCAATTATTTGGAAAGCGTTCCATTGGGGTGATGCGGAGGTCCCACAGTCACGATTTTAACCTTTTGCTTGGTTTTGTGTGTGGACTTTGTACGAGCAGTGTTCATATTTTACAGGTCGTGAAGAATTTAGGACTTCATTTATTAGAAATAAGGTTTTTAGCGGATTAGTTAGGAATGAGTCTTGAGATTACCGTTTGCTGCTACTAAACACTTGGTCCCAATAAAGGTTAACATCATTGTCAGATATTAGCTATACATTTTATCTGGGAAGTTTCTTTAATTTTATGCGCTTGTAATAGTTCAATATCTTTTACAGTTATTACCAGTTTTTATGATTAGAGAGGTTAAATATTGGAGAAAGCCTTGGGGTTTGCTTTGTAGGATGAAAGCAAAGCGAGATTATAACAGGGCAGAATTGTCTATTTTTGTCTGGCTTCTACTTTTTTTAGTCGTCGAGTGATTTGTACGCATGTTACAGTTGTCCATTTTCGTCTTCCCAGTTCATGAATAGTGAAGTGTTCTATAGTTTTGGTTTATCTCCTAGTAGAACATGCCTCTCAAGGCAACTACGTAAATAGTTTTAGTTATGGTTGAATTCTACATCGCGAAATTTGGGGTATGATGTTAACCAGATCGTTTGAAAGATCCCTCGTGGAAGGTAGATATCGATGTCGCCGTGGTAAACCAAGAATGGCATAATGGACTCATCACTGGGAAGAGATATGGTTCTTCTGTCCTTTTTATTATTTGGTGTCTGGTGTACTACGCCAGTTGTGTCAACAATAAAACTTGAAGGTTAGCTTCGTATACTTAGGTAATAAGTCTTTCCGGTATTCTTTATGAGAGATTGATACCACATTTCACCAGTGATTTTGCTACCAGAGGCACATAGTCAAGGTTGAAATTTATCTTGAAAGTAATGTTGTCAAAATTGTGCGTATCCCAGTCAAGTTATCTCTTTTTTTAATTTGCCCGTAAACATTTTCGGCTACAATGGTCTATCTCATAAGTGATGATATCTGTGAGTTTCATATTTTCTTCCTAAAGTCATCTCAAGAAATGATCACAGTAATTTAATGGTAGCGCCAAAACGCCTCATCCTCAATATGGTCTCCTCTCCAACTTCGACGAAGATCTTTGAACTACTCGCTTTTGAGTTTGGTACCTAGTTGAAGAATGTCTTCTTGAGTGCTGGTCGAGTGCATTTTTTTGGAATCCTGAGATGGCTGTGCTGCAGCGTTCCCATTTGGATTGCATGGAGTGAAATGCCCCCGTTCAAGTTAGACACTAACTTCATGGCGCTGGAGGGATGAAAGGCATGCAGAGCTCGATATGGGGTCTAAGCAGCACCGTAAGTGGCGTCGCTACCGCTACCAGCCCTACCCGGTCCCACATCAGTGATTAACACCATACTACCATAAGTAAGGGTCACGTATGGTAAAGTGGTCGGACGCGCCCTGCAATGCATATGGCAAGGCTCGCCAAGCCTTCCATTCCTCCGGGATTGGTAAATTGGTACCACAATTGTCTGGAGGATAGCAGCACTGGCTAGATACATCGGTAGGCCACCGCGAGTAATTGTAAAGGCCAGATATGCATTTAATCACCTCCAATGATGCTCGATGAAGTAGAATGCATGGTGCATTCCTCCCTACGGGATCGATAAACCCCGAGAGATTCATCGTTTATCCTTTGTCCTTTGTAATATTCAACAGAATATTACAAAGGACAAAGAAACAAATGGTTTAAGCTACAAGCTATAAATTCGGTGGACATCATCACTTTTAAAAGAAATTGATTCATTCACGTAGACACCCGATAGACACCCGATGTCGGAACAAAATTAGAAATGTTTTACACGACGATCACTTCTAACTGATTGATGTCATACCGTCTGACTTCATCAAGGGCAAGACTCCTATTGCTGTTTATGGTTTACTGCTCTTCATACTTTCTCTATAGTAGCCTCGGCACCAAACCCTGCCAGGTGTATTCCGTATGACACACCGAACTCCATTAAAATTTCGTGACCATGCGTTAATCTGAACATTTCTACTCCACTAACAAAAGTGAATCACTCGAGCGAGGATAGCGCAGTGGTTTCTGATGCCGTCGATCGAGAAGCAGAGGACGAAGGCTCGATCCTACGTCAACGCTCTCCTCCAATCCACATGGGAACACCTTAGTTCGGCTATCTCCAGGATTGAAAAAAGAACTGACTCCACCAGCATTCTACGACATTCATAAAGAAGACTAAATTCTCAGGTAGCAACTTAAATAACACGCTAAATGTGCGAAGCCCATCGTTGACGATGAACGCGAGGATAACGAATCGAATGCAAGAAGTGCTGGGATTCCCACAGTAGTTGTCATGGTAGGTCATGTAAAATAAAGAAATAGTAGTGGCTGACATCTCACTTTCTTTAGTCTGAAAACCCATTGAGGTGGAATTACCACACAATCTACCGTCTATAATGCTTTCATAACCTTAACGGAAGAAACTCGAAACAGATTTTAATCGCATGTGCAAACTTCCTCAGACACCATTTTCTATACATTTTCAACTTATTGGTGAAGACCGTCCTCACAGAGTTTACTTGGTTGAGGAATGTGCCTCGGTCAGGTGAAAAAATCTGTGATACTTCGCACTTCTGACAAAATGCTCTGTAGCTGTTTTTCTCAATTTCAATAAGCAGCTGCATCAAAACCATAAATGGATGTATTAGGATTCTGGGCATTTAACCTTTATGGCCACACTAATAGACTTTTATGTTCATTTTTCTGCACCAAGTATAAAACTGTGTGAAATCTCTAAAGACGTTTTTCCTGAGCGCAGAACTGTTTGCGTTAAGAAATCATCACAATTCATATCACGAAAAGAATGCTATATTTTTTGGAAAATTCCGTGATTGATTAGGTTCGATTGAGATTCTACGACCATTCGATGTCGATGTCTGTTCCCTTTTCCAAAAACGTTGATTGTTTTTCCGTTTAGACTATGAGCTACATAAAACTGGTGTAGTGTTTGTCTGTCGTCTCCTTCGTGCATCATACGAATTGACGATGAAATCGATGGCGTTGTCTTGGTGATACCATTAAGTGCTGAGAGTCGTATTACCGACTGACCAATTTGTCACGATGTTTAACTGAAAGAACATCTACCCCATCAAGTTTTTCTAAATTAATCGTCGTCATGAAAATACGAGCTATTCTTTGGATGAACGTTGTGGCTGCCTCGAATGCTGTTGTCGCTGACAAAACACCGTCACCACTGGTCACACCAGCCGATTGTACAACACTTAAAAACGCGAATAAGAGTGAGTGCTTTTAACTTATCGAATTATCACGTGCTATACACTTATTCGATAGAAGGCTAAATCGTCTACTGTACGAATGCCTTCCTTTTACTTATTTGGTGATTATTCGTATCATTGATAGCTGAAATTTCACCGATGAAAAAATTACATACTGTCAACACTGCTCTAACGATAATCTGTTCTGGTTATTCACGACTAATGCATAAAATATCTTACTGTTTTGATGTCATACTTGCTATTTTTTGTTTTTTTTTTGCCTTCTTTTCATGACCAATAATCACATCAACTATGTAGATGCCAGCACTTGCTCCATCCGATTCACTTTCCTCGCAAACTTCTTCGACCAATTAGCATGCAGCTTGGGCTGTTACTTGAGGATCTTGTCGTCTTCGTGAATGTCGTAAGATACTCGTTGAGTTGATTTTCCTTGAAATCTTGGAGATAACCGATCTATGGCGTTCCCCCATGGAATGAACAAGGGCATTGGGCAGAGGTTGAACCATCACCCTGCTTCTTGATGGACTGCATCACTAGCCACTGCACTATTCTCCTCCTACATCATCGGATCTTTACTATTACTATTATCAATTTCACAGATCTCCGTTGCGGAGGGATCTCCTGCCAATTGGTCACGAGGCAGCGTGGGTTTTTAGTCGCGAACCAAAAGTGACCTTTCTTGAGAGACAGGTGGATCCAGAGCACGGAATCCGTTTCTTCTGCGCCAACTAACAAGCCGAATCGGACGGCTGCAATTGAAGAGATGTGGGTCAATGCTGGTTTTGACAATCTCCTCGTCTATGCACCTACATCTATGACTAAGACGAAGTCGATGTGTTTTATATGAACTTGGAGAAGTTCTATAGAGAAAACTATACAGTCCTTAAGGTCGTCATTGGCGATTTTAACTCTGAGACTGGACCCAGAAAAATGTTTGAAAAACGTCACATTGGCACTCACTGATCAGAATGGAACGAGTAGGGTGAGCGTTTGCATGATATTATCACGATGATCAAGACCATTCACAGAAAATCACAATTCCAGCTGCCCCACTCTCACCGCTGGACTTGAGAGTCTTCCAGTTGAGAATACCACAACGAAATAGACCACATCATAGTAAATAGAAGTTCACAATGTTCACTTTTTATCCACTGCCTTTTACATGTTTTCACGGCAGGGTATTATTTGTGAAACAACTACAATGTTTCGAAACCGACTTTCCCTTAACCTCGGTGTGACTAATCAATATGCATTCTTTCTTGATAAGCTTGCACGAGGTTAATAAATATATTTATTTTCGGCTAACGTTTCGACGTCTTCGTCTTCTTCAGAGCCGATGATCCGAAGCTGCAACGTCGAGACGAACAACAATCATGGACCATCGACTCGGATCATCGGCTCTGAGGAAGACGAAGACGTCGAAACGTTAGCCGAAAATAAATATATTTTTCTACTTCTGTTCAGCAAGCACGAGGTGCTATTTTATTTCTTTATTTACGCACAAGCTGACGTTTCGGCGGATTTCGCCTTCCTCAGAGCCTGGAAGGGTCAAGTTGACAGCAATCCACTCTGCCAAACACCTCCATAACCAAACAGAGAAAACTCTAAACCAAGATTTCAATCACATTTAGCATAGCTCTGCACACTCACCGCTTTCTATGAGTCTTCCACTGAGTATATCGCGTGAAGACCGACAGCACAGAATTCACATGGAAGCGTAATGTGCCCCTAAAGCGTGCGGGGAGGAATACGTTGGCGAAACGGGTAGACTCTGCGTACGTATAAAAGAACACCTAGCCGGCAAACGTAAGCTAAGTACTCCACTAGGTACGCATAGCACGAAGAAACATAACGGAGAAGATTTTGAAGTAAGGGTTACGATCCTCGCGCAAGAATCGAGAACACAAGCGCGCAAAACTCTAGAGGCATTCTGGATAAATTCCAAGAATCCGAAAATGAACCGCAGGGAGGAATGCCTTGTTATCACGCGTGATATTGGACAGTATACAAACCTGTTATTCTGATGGGAGGAGCTTCCATGTGAATTTTGCGCGGTCGGTCTTCACGCGACATACTCAGTGGAAGAGTCATAGAAAGCGGTGAGTGTGCAGAGCTGTGTTCAAAGTGATTGAAATCTTGGTTTGGAGTTTCTTTGTTTGGTTATGGAGGCGTCTGGCCGAGAGTCGGTTTCGAAATATTACTACGCTTTGTGCTAGCTGATAAAACACCGACTTCTGCACGATGTCCGCAATGATGTATGTCCGGAAGAAATACAGTTTGTTACCACCGGACATTATCATTATATATCCACCATCAGCATCGTGTATAAAAGGGCATCACTGAGTGAGGATGCCTCATTCGAGAAGATGGATCACTGAGGAAGACCTGGTTCGACACGAAGGCGAAGCTGCAACGTCGAGACGAACAACAATCATGGACCATCGACTCGGATCATCGGCTCTGAGGAAGACGAAGACGTCGAAACGCTAGCCGAAAATAAATATATTTATCAACTTTTGCAAGCTTATCAAGAAACAACTACAATGTTGTTGAGATATTTGCAAAACCCCGGACCACAGGTGTCTGCGGTGGGAACGAATGCGCTTTTACCCTTTCCGGGGGCTAACACTTTATCCCCACATCATACGGGTCCTTCGTTTCGCCTGTCTCGCAGCTAGCCGGACACGTAATGCGTGTGAACAGCAACTGATGAACAAGAGCCGTTAGCAACTTGGTTCCTCTAGAGTCAAACGCATAACAGGAGAGTTACCGACAGAGTAGTCCAAGTTCTACAGGAAAATCCTACAGAAAGGATATGATGCTCAATGTGTCTCTAGATCCAGCAGAACACACTGGGCTATTCTTGCTCGCGATAAGGAGAAATGGAAGATTTATTTGTGCACGTGGGAGCCACTGGAAGACCAAATTACGAAAGGTGATACAAGTCATTACTGTTATCACTATTATATGGAATTAATGATAACATATTGTTGTCGTGTTACTGTTCTTATCGTTATTGCCTTTTTTGTCACTGTTATTATTACTCTTATTACCATTATTGTTCCCACGGATCTCCCTCATATAAGGGATCTCGAGCCGGTTAGTCGTGAGGCTACGTGGCTCGTCCCCAGGTAGCGGATAGAAGGTTAATCGCGGACCAAAAGCGACCTTCGCTTCCCTGAGACGTAGGTGGATCCAGGGGATGAACTCCTTGTTTCTGCTGCGCCAATTTGGCACATATTTTCTGTATTTGCTAAGCATATTCATGCATGTGTGTGTGTGGGTCTGAGTTTTTCTGAGTTTATCATGGCGGCCTTGACAATCCATGGTAACCCGCAATTCCAGAAGCCCGACCCTCAGCGCTGGTCGTGGGAGTTTCCCAATGGAGGGTACCATAACGAAATAGACCACATTATAGTAAATAGAAGGTTTTGCTTAACCGATGTCGCCGTTGTCTCAAAATTCTACACTGCGGCAGACTATCGCCTTCTTCGTGAAAGATTCTATTTCTCGTGGAAAGGAGAAAAGGCCGCTAAATTCAAATGCCGAAGTCGCAGAACCACAAACTAGGATTTATTCAATTCATTAGTCAGCTATTCGAAAGATGCCGTTGTCGATAACACCGACGAGCAATAGGATCGGCGTATTCAACATCTTCACATTAGTGCTGTCAAAGCTCAGAGTTCGAAAGTGACCAAGAGATATCTGTTTCCGGAAACACTGGAGCCGATTCGCCAGCGTGGAATCGCACGAGCTACAGGCAACGGAACTAAAGTCCAAATTTACAAAACAGTGCAGATAGGCGATAAAAGAAAATTTTAAAAAGAGAAGAGCAGTAGTAATGGCCGAAGCAGCAGAGGCTGGGAAAAGCATTCGCAAAGACCACCGAAGCTTCGCCAATTACAAGACCAAAATGATTGCTCTCCGGCGCCCAAGCGGAAGAGTTACAGCGTCCAGAAAGGCAATGGAGAAAATCACCCACGAATACTACTCGGATCTCCTCGACAGCCACGCCCACCTTCCCTCATACTATATAAAGTAGAACCGATATGTCGTACCATCGGTTCTCCTTTCCGAAATCCGATATGCCATTTCGTCGCTGAAAAATCGAATTGCACCAGGTCCGGACAGGATAAGACCAGAACATCTGAAGAGCCTTCCGCCAGTCCTTGTGAACAAACTGGTTCACACGTTATCTGTATGAATGCAAGGTCCCTACTCAGTGGAAGACCAGCAAGACCGTGTTATTGTTCAAGAAGGGTGATATCGGCAACTGTCGCCCAATCTGCTTACTGTCTGTCTTCTACAAATTTTTCACTCGAGTCATCCTAAACAGGATAGACAGAACACTGGACGAAGTACAGTTATGTGAGCAAGCAGGGTTTAGAAAAGGATTTAGTACGATAGACGACATCCGCTTCATAACAAGGCTCACTGAAGTATCGCGAGAGTACGAAAGAATGCCTTGTCTCACTTTCATTGATTTAGAGAAGGCTTTTGATTCAACTGAGATAGAAGTAGTCATGGAAGCCCTTGATAGTCAAGGAGTCTCTACTCAGTACATAAAGATTCTTCCTGAGCTGTACAAAAATTTCACAACCAATGTATCACCATTCTACAACGATGTTAACATCGACGTCAAAAGAGGAGTTAGGAAAGGCGATAGCATCTCGGCAAAATTATCTATCGCCACCCTCCAGAACGTCGTGCGAACATTAGAATGGGATAATATGGGTGTGAAAATCGATGGTCTTCAGTTACATCATCTTCGCTTTGCTGATGACATCGTCTTTATCACACCAAACATTAGCCAAGCGGAACGTATGCTTGCCGACATTGATAAAGCCTGTGGAAAGACTGGTCTTTTACCAAATCTCACAAAAACGATGTTCATGAAGAACGAATTGGTTTTACATGCCCCATTTACGCTTAACGGAACGAATATCTCCGCTTGCTCCAGTTATGGCTATCTAGGTCGGGAAATCAGTCCGGTGAACCACTTAGCTCCGGAGCGGGGCAGAAGGAAAGGAGCGGTTTGGGGAGCTTTCAGGAGCATTGAGGCTGTAGTTTGGAGAACAAAGAACACCCGACTACGTGCCCACCCTTTCGACTCAACGCCACTTCCTGCCCTAACGTATGCATCAGAAACCTGGTCGGTGCGTAAGCAGGATGAAAGATCACTCAGCGTTATCGAACACGCAGTCGAAAGGACGATGCTAGGTGTTCCCGTTTCACTCAGGTAAGGGATGGGATCGGAAGCTCCGACCTGTGTCAACGATAAAAATCAAAGATGCTGTTCTGTACGCCAAACAGTCGAAGATAAGGTGAGCCGGACACGTAATGCGTATGAATGACAGCCGATGGACATGGACATAGATGAGAGACAGGGAAGACGAAGGACCCGGATGGTGTAGTGGTGAAGTGCGCTGCTCCCCAGTAAGGACAACAGCGCGTGTTCGTTCCCCACTGCATACAGCTCTGGCCCGGAGTTTTGCAAATATCTCAGCACTTCATACAAGTTATATTTCACAACATACCCTGCCATTAAGAAGAAAAAGGCAGTAAATAAAAGAGTTAAGTACGTTTACTATTTATATCTTCCGCAAACCAGACGATATTTTTCTTCAAATACATTTTTTTTATTATAGGATTTATGATCATATATGTATATAGGGACACGTGTGGCGCAGCGGTCGAAGGCACCCTACAGCACAAACGTGGAATCGTTCCCCGCGCCCATGGCCCAACAACCCTTTCATCCCTCCGAGGTCGGCAAATTGGTGCCAGACTTGTCTGGGAGGATAGAAGCACTGGCTGGATACATCGGTAAGCCGGCGCGAGTCACTGTAAAGGCAAGATGTGCATTCAGTCACCTCCAAACGATAATGAAGGCACATACATGGCGTATTCCTCAGGGATTGACCAATATCGAACACTTTACCCTCCATATATATATATATATATATATAATATAGAATATGCAAAATATATTTTATATATGTAGAGCGTATTCATTGTCTATTGTTACTTGAAAAATGAGCTCTGGTTGTAAGAATGGATAAACTCGGAAAGTGGGCATTACCTCCAATGTGGATTCGTGCTGTGTTCCTTTTTTTGTGGGCTAGTAATTTTAATAGGGAACGATTGCAGAACGGATTTCATATGTCCTTAAGCTTGGTGAGTAACTAATTAACTGGATTGATCTATAGCAGTTGCTGGAAATCAGAATTAAACCAAGGAAGATTGAAGGGACGTTCAATTTGAAACATTTGTGCGTAATTATTGTATTAAATAGAAGAGCTTAAGGTTTCCTCAATATGAATATGCATGATCGTTTACGACTAGAGAGTTGCGTGTTCACATTTCTTACCGATACGGAACTGAAATTCAATGCTAATCCGGATTCGTTTCACACCGATCCACCACCGGAGGCTGAATTGACAATCCAGGTAAATTCGATAAGGAAGTCTCAGTACAATAAACGAGTCTCTTTATGATTTTTTTCATTGATTTCATGTTGAAATCTCAACGTTCTTCAGCTATTGAACTCAATTTGCATTGACAACGAAATTCTTCTAATGGCTTATGCATAGTTACTCACTTCAAGCGTCATCAGTTTGGAAACCCATTCTTGATTCCTGTCGTCATGGACTCGCGTTTTTCTTTGGAATTTTAGCAATTTCTAAGTCGGTGAGGAAGCGCCGTTACAACAGAACAGCTACGAAACCATTAAAGGTTAAAGTGAGTATAAGAAGGGACCAGCAACTTTTTATTAATTGGACATAAGGCTACTATAAAGTATTTGCTAGTTCTTGGCCAGGTATTGCTTCTGTGGATTCTACCGTGTTTCGTCTCAAAAAGTCGCCATATATTAGTTTTCGATTTGACCAAGATTTTGTCCAACCTACCAAGAGAGACTCAAAGTTTAGACTATAAACGAAACGTAAGGAGATTTGCAAAACAATAATCTTCTTGCTCTTTGGTTTCTTAAATGAGCTCTAACCACCGTATTGTCGTGACCTCGTGTGCGGGCCTGTCACTGCCTCTGATTCAGAACATCAAGCTTCGAAACGATTCGAGCTCTTGCCTGAAGTTTGATAACTCCAGAATTCGTGAAGTTATATCTCAGAAATTTTCAGATTGAAGGTTTTCATTCATATATTGGTAGAATTATGACCTTTCTTTCAAATCCTTCACTTCAGAAGTGTACGTATTGGAAAACTTTGACCGGATTTTGTATTCCCACTTAGGTGTTTCTTTCAAGAAGCGAGAGATCATGCAGATATTGTATTATTATGTATCAAGTAAAGATGATTACATATGTGATTGAATTGAAGTTTTGAAATATTTTCTGCTATTCCTGAACCATTTCCACTTCTTCTTCCACTTTAAGATGAATCACTTCTTGTTGAAGGTGTCATCTTCACTTGTTCAGGAATTCCTGAGCAGCGATGTTCAGTTTGTCATAAGTAAATCGTCTTGATGACCTGATGGTGAAAGAACTTTCAACTTTGGTAGAACTTTGTTGTATATGATAGGTTTATCTTAATAATTAGAAAAGTCTTTCTTTTTATCTTATCTTTCATCCGAAAAATTCTCATGTGGTTTTCAGGTAGACGATGTTGTAATTCGTCATGTTCAGCTCTCATCGGGTAGTACATACCAATTTCAAATCTACGGAGATATATACTTGGTAAGTCCTTCTTATGCAGTAAGCAAATCAGGACAAGACAATATCGAGATTTTTAACAACAAGAGATGAACGGAAGAAATTGGTAGTTGTCATAAAGACGAAGAGAAAATGTAGAGACGGAATTAAGACGTGGAAGGACTCTCGCCTTCAATGGAATGCATCCGAGTGGAAGGTGGAGAACTTCTATATTCATGATGCACACAAAATTTGGTCACCAAATCTCATCGATCACAGGTCTGTTCTCGATGGTTTTCAATATCGAAGATGACAAGAACATCTGAGCTAGAATTAAGTTTAGATAACAAATCTTTTTCTTGATTATATCGATTCAGATTTCCCGTCGACTCAGTCCTTTCAGGAAAGTAATTTGCAGTCTGAAGCGCGGAGGTGGCAGTGTTTAGAGGTGTTGTTTAATAACGTGCTCGAGGTAAATGTTTCCACCACGCCTGGTCCTACCAAGCCTCCCATCCTACCGTGGTCGAAATTGGTGCCGGACTTCTCTGGGAAGAACTCCCTATGGTCTTTATAAGTCAACGACAACCTCTGTATTGAAAATCTGGGAGCAGTCCAAGAAAGACGACCTTGATAATGTTCTTGTTCTAACGTTCTCAAAGGTTTCTGAAAATTTCCTTGACTTAGAAGCCCAGTTTGGGCCAAACACAGTGGTGATATACTGCAGCACTAGCTCTTTTTTTTTATAAACGGAGAAAATATTCACAGAATTTGATAAAGATGCTACCAAAAATCGAAAAAAAAGTAGTAGCGCTGAGAATTTGGTACAAAAGCAGAAGAAGAGCTTCGAGACAGTGCATATTACATCCTTCAAGATATGCATAGGTAATATAGGGAAATTCTATGTTAGAGCGATCACATTTTCACCACCTCTCATTTTTCTCGTAAAGAAAATAAGTCACTGATTTAAAACTAAGTCCTATTCTTAAGAAGTACAGCAACAAATAAAGACAGAAAGTAAGAAATGGTTGTATTTCGGGGATGATAAGCTCACAGTATGAGTGACTTTTTCTTGGAATCAGAACAGTTTTTGCCTTATAGGGTTCTATGAAGATCGAATGGTTTTGGACTTAAAGCCTTTAAAATAAGTACAAACAATAATGTTTTTCAGTATTTGCACTGACGTTAGCTTATGTACATCAGAACTAAACGATGTCGAAATTCTCAGCGAAGGTCGCGCTTATGCACGGCTAGTCTTTCGTTATTCAGCCTATTGTAAGGTTGACTACAGTCGGTAAGATCTTAAAATTCCGGTTATCGATATTATCGACGAGTGCTTTATATGTGTACCGATCGATATGGAACATATCACAACTAAACTTACTTCCATCATAGAATCGCTGTCTTATCGTAGTCGTTTATGAAATGACGAGATAGTATACGACTGCAATAGGCTACTTGTTTCAGAAATTTTTGAAATTTTATGTACCAGCTTTGGTGATTTTTGCTTAATATTTGAGCATTGATTAAGTTCTACGTTTAGATTTCCAGAGGATGAGAATTATTGCTGCATTTTCTTCACAGCCTTTGAGCCAGATCATGAGGTCACTTTCGCCGTTGAATCAGACCATAGCAAAAAGGCAAGTGGCTTTTAGAATTTTATTTGTTAGTAAACATGATATTCAGGGAAGGAGTAGCGTATTGATTAGTAGTACCGTCAGTCAAGAAGCGAAGGCACTAGTTTGACATCAACGCATTCCCAATTCTCTATTCTAATCCATATGAGAATTCCTCAGTCCGGCTGTATCCGAGATTGCAAGGAGAATCGAGTCGACCAACATTCTACAACATTCATAAAAAAGACAAAATCCTCAACCATTAGCCGAAACAACAAGTGTGATGTTCACAGACCATTATAGACGATGAACCCAAGGAAAAAGAATCGAATAGAAGTACTGGGATCGGTACAGTAAATGTGATGATAGATTATGTTAAAAAAATTTTACATGATGAGGGAGTCTGTGGCCTACCAGTTAGGGGTACAATGCAATGCCCACAGCCGTTGGTTAAATCTCGAGCCCGGACCCACCCAAGCACTTCATCGCTCCGATATCGGCAAATTGCTATCAGGCTTGTTTGGTACGATAAACACGCTGAATTATACATCAGTAGGTCGTCGCAGGTAATTGTGAAGACCAAATGTGGTCAACAAGAAAGAAAATCTCTGTTATGCATAAGCCATGCAACGGTTTTTCATACAGAAATATAGACGAAAAATTAGTAGGATACGCAGTAATTCCCAAGGGCGATTTTCTGTTAACATCTGCATTGATCAAATAAATCACTGGATCCTTGGTGAGCACGCACGAGGTTATTAGTCCAATGTTTATTGACGAAAAAGTTGACGTTTCGGCTAATTTCGCCTTCCTCAGAGCACGTAAAAGTCAAGTTGACTGCTATCTACTCGGCCAAACATCTCCATAACTAAAACGGAAAAAACACAAAACCAAGATTTCAAGCGCAATGAAAATAGAATAGCTCCTTTGCTCACTCACCGTTTTCTATGAGTCTTTCACTGAGCATTCCACGTGGAGACCAACCACACAAAGTTCACATAGGAGCGTAATGCGCCTTTCTCACATTCAAATAGCAGTCTTAAATATTGTGTGAGATCACATGTGATAACAAGACATTTCTTCCTGCAGTTCTTTTTTCGATTCTTGAAATTTATCCAGAATGCTTCAGCAGCTGTGCGCTGAAGTTTTCGAATCCTATGGGAGGATGGTAACTTGTAGTTCAAAGTCTTCTCCTTTATGTCTCTCTTTCCTACGTGCGCCTAGTGGAGTATCTAGTTTAACATTAAGTTTCAGGTTCACAGTTCAGTTTACATTTTAGAATAGTGGCGTACGCCTAACACACCCTTTTAAAATGAGGAGGTTTAGTGGCTTTCGGAAATGCGCAATAATTTTCGGGCTATGTCATCTATAAAAGATCTGCAAGTGTAGAACTGAATGTTGTGGTAGAACACAGAGTTAGTGCAGCTATTCCTGTTATTAATGGGATATAGTATGAATAGTTTGAGTTTTTAACTTAGGTTGCTTTACTCACGCATTATGGCCAAGCTTGGTAAAAGCTGCTAAGGTACAGTTGGGTGGAGTGGTACGTGTTGCTGGAATGGCGGTGAATGACGGGCTGTCATTGCTCATCTACTATTCTGGAAGATTATTGTTTACGGAGAGATTATGGTTGATATTTATCGTTTAAGGTAAATCGACCAGTGTCAGTACAAAACCTTTTTGATAGAGCACATGGATTGTCAACCCTCGCCGATGAACACTCAGCATGGGTCGTCGATGTTAGTCGAATTGAATTATTCATTAGAAAAATCTAGTGAAGCACCAGGCATTAAATTCGTTTCCTAATTTGATTGCAATCAGTGGAAACTGTAAAAAGGAATTTGCTGTTGTATCCGGATCACTAACAATAGTTGAGCTTCGGTACTTGTTCGAGTTCGAAAGTATACTCTGATTCTAGCAAAGAATAAACAGATATATTAATACACAAATTTTAAAGAATTGCCGAGTATGTTACAACTAGTTTATCAATCTGAACAAAGACTTTTGTTTCTGGATCGCATACAGTATGCTTAGAGAACAGCAATAATTAAATTGTTTTTAACCACAATGGTGCTGAGACATTTGCAAAACTACGGGCCACAGGGGTCTGCGGTGGAGAGTGAACGCGCTATTACCCTTTCCGGTGGCTAATGCATTCACCATCACACCATGCAAGCAGTTCGTTTCGCCTTTCTCTCTTTTACCAGCGCCATCAGCAAACACCCGTCAACGGGAGCGGAGCCAAAATCGGCAGTGAACCCTCAGCTTAACGCATGGTGTGGTGGTGAGCGCATTACTGCTCGGAAAGGGCGTTCGTTTCTCACCGTACACACCTGATATCCGGAATCTGACAATATTTCAGGACCCAATGTTTACTTTTTATTTTCCGCCTTTTATAATTTTTATGGCAGCGTGACCCGTCACCTGTACCACCTGTAGTCCCGTTAATCGTCGAGTGACTCGAGCTGGCGCAAGTAAATTTTCCATTTTTTTCTATAGCGTGCAAGAGTAGCCAAGTGGATTCTGCTCGCTCTAGCGACTCGCCGAGCGGCATACCTTTCTTCAAGGCTCTTTGTGACGAACTCTGACCATCGGCTCTGTAGTCTTCCTGCAATACGTTTGACATCCCGAGGAATCAAGTCACTAACGGCCCTTGTCCATCGGTTGTCATTCAAACCCATTACGTGTCCGGCCCTCCTTATCTTCAACTGTTCGGCGTACAGAACGGCATCTTTGATTTTTGATCGTTGACGCAGGTCGTAGCTACGGATCCCATCCCTTACTTGTGTGAAACGGGATACTCCTAGCATGGTCATTTCGACGGCGCGTTCAATAACGCTGAGTGATCTTTCGTCCTGCCTACGCAGCGACCAGGTTTCTGACGCATACGTTAGGGCAGAAAGTACCGTTGAGTCGAAAAGGTGGGAACGGAGTCGGGTGTTCTTCGTTCTCTTCACTACATCCCCGATGCTCTTGAAAGCTTCCCAAGCCACTCGTTTCCTTTTCGAAACCCTGCTTGCTTACATGGCTGCCCTTCGATCAGTGTTCTACCAATCCTGTTTAGGATGACTCGAGTGGAAAGTTTGTAGACAAGAGACAGCAATCAGATTGGGCGGTAGTTGTCGATATCGTGTGTGT